TATGAGTCGAGAGAATAGAGTTTATGCTCAAAAACTGGAGAACTCCGGAGTAAGCGAAGCACATCTAAGAACGAGTTCATACGTCGCGATTCGATCGCTTGTGTTGCGCCAGCGGATCGCGATGTACAAGCGTGCTCTGACTGACATGATAAGCTTTTTTGCGCGAGGGATTGTTTAACCCACACCAGAGCTTATTCCTTTGGACTTCATGAAAAATTCTCATTCACTGGCCCACAATCCTTTCAACGCACCATGTCGCCCTTCACTTGAAGAAAAGAAATGGAAGAAATAGCGAGAGAACAAAGCCAATAACGCTTCGCAGCTTTAGAGAACTATTGTGTAAAATTCGGATTCAAAAGAAACCACAGCAAGAGCAAAATGCCTTTCGCAAACAGAGCAGTGGCGGGCCTTGTAAGTCAGAAATGATACTATACCTGAAAAGAAAAACTTACATATAACATCTATTGGTATCATTAACGAATATGATAGTTTTGCCAACAATTAGCCGTAATTTAAACATCGCAACAAGTATTGCAAATCGTTCGTTATCGTCCAGGCATGTTATCTGGTACTGTGTCAATTGGTCCACATCTGGGAGATCTCCTTCCTACACATAAATTCGTTCTTACTCAATAATAAGTCGCAGTAGAACAAAAGATTAGAACGTGTTCATACTTCCCTATGCGATCGCGCTATCCAAGCGATCGGATTGAAGTATGAACGCGCTCTTATGCAAATTATGTGCACTGAACTGACCTTCAATTTGAGCGTAAGAACAGGCCCCGTCATAAAGAGGGTCTTTAACGTGCTCATATCGTCTGTGATAGTGGCTGATGTCAATATGCACTGGTACTTCACTGGGAGAAATTTTTTCAAGGAACTGAACGTTTACCATTTGCATTTGTTTATAAACAAGGTTGCTTACTTGTTCATGTTTATGCATACCTCATTTCGTCTTCGTAACCAAAGGATAATAGAAGGTCGGCTTCGTCGAGAACCAGATGGCGAACGTCTTCACAAAAATGTCGGCGTACGGCCAACACTTCAAGTATCTTCCCAGGAGTTGACACGACAAAGTTGGCAGTGTCCTGATGAAAACTTCACTTGAAATATTTGGCGAATGCGCAGAAGCCGCGATATGGGAGAAAGCATGACAAGAAAGTGCAGTTATCAGTCTGAATATTCCACGATTCGAATAAAAATGCGTTTATGCTTTGCTTCGCGTTTCGAGCTTTTAAGCGACTAGGAGATGTATTGAGCCAGCGTTTTGAGTGTATGCTACTGTTTTGATAATGTCATGAGTTGTCTCGAACTTTTCGCGGGCAGTCGCTGGAAATGCTGGCGTGCACTCGAAACGTTGCTGTGTGCTCAAAACGCTGAATAGCATGAAAGCAGCCCGAGGGGGAATAATTGGTGGGGACCCATTGATTCCACCCCCATCGTAGCCCGAATTCCTCTGAATCGTGTCTTTTTCTGAAGCGCACATTCTCCGAAAACCCTAGCGAGAGTAGCCAGTCGACCTTTATTGTCGATTCTCACTTTTTCGCAAGCACTAAGGGGCATTCCGGGCACTTCCCTTGTCTGGCATACTCCCCACTTTTTTTTTCCAAATCGCACACACTTCACATTCAAGAAGAACGCGGCTTTGCGGTTACAAATGGAGGGAATAGTAATATCGCGTCCATACTTTGCGGCAGTGTTGCGAGCGAGCGATATCGACCAGCCTTCAGGGCGTTCGCCAGCGTTTTCGGCGATAATCGATACCCACACTTTCTTAGTCGCTCAAAACGCTTATGCAAAGTATGAACGCACTATCTAGCAGCACACTAAAGAAGCTTACGTTTCCCCAACACCAGATCCGTTCGTCTGCAAGCAAGTCAGCCAAAGTTTCAGAGATCGCAAAGAAACCCGCAAACGGTTGAAGCAATTTTAGCAGCAAGTCGTTGATCTTAAATAGATATTCTAAGACAATCTACTAATAGATTAATAGGTACTTTATAGATAATCTATTGATTTATTAATAGATTATTTACAAAATACTCTCAAAACTTATTACAGTCATCTTCCCTTACCTGTACGCAAAGCTCTTTCGTAGGTGCAATGAACAGCGCAAATGGCATCCTGTTTGCAGCTCCCACCAGAAACCGGTCTAAATGTTGCGCAACATTGATAAAAATCTATGGCAAGTGTGATACAGTAATACCTCACCTGCAACGTAAGCCAACTAGCCTTTTAATAAGTAGGAATCAAATAGGCTCTGTCTTGACCGATTCACCGATTCGGCGCTCTCAGAGCCCAATATATTTTTATCCTCTAATGCGAGACCAAAGATGGATTCCTGTACTTGCGTCGGCCATTTCCAACCCATATTACCGATTGCCTGCGACAAAGTGATTGAAAACGGGTCTTTATCCCTAATAAAAATAGACGGACTACTCTTACTGAGCCCACCTTGAGCAATCTTTCGTCAATTTCGAAATCATTGAATGTTTTTGCACCAACTTCTGGAGTGACCACATCGAGCTTGGCTTTCTTTAGTCCCTCAAGTTGTTTCCTTAAGAGGTAATAGTGGAAAATGGGATTTCAAGTAATTGATACAACACATAACTTCAGGTGTTTTTTTGACAGTATTTTCATGGCTCCTTGCCTACTAGCCATCTTCTGTAACCACCTTAAGTGAGCACATATCTAGTACTCCGTGATGATCGGGTGGATGTTCCGCGATAACCAAATGGGAGGAGACAGAAACAACCTCATTAGTAGGC